AGACCACATGTCAGGGTCGGAAAAATGGCCGCAGACCACATGTCAGGGGTGGAAAAATGTCCGCGGATCACGTGTCAGGGACGGAAAAATGATCGCAGACCACGTGTCAGGAGCGGAAAATGGCCGCGGACCACATGTCAGGGGTGGAAAATGGCCACAGACCACGTGTCGGGCAGAAAAATGGCTGCGGACCACGTGTCACGGGCGGGAAAATGGCCGCGGATCCTGTTCGTGACCCGATCCGGTGTTCACGAATGGAGGCAAAATTTTGCGACCGGAGCTGTTTGACCCGAATTGGTCGTGAACAGAAGGGTTTGTGACCCAAGGCACCACTGTATAATTAGAATATTATGTTCTGCTCTTGGTATATTCTGGTTACAGTTTTCATCTATATGTTGCTAAGAAAAACAAACTCTACACTACTATTTAGCCTATTTTAATCCCAGTTTCCAGTATGGGATCCATTTTTATTTATTTTTTTACCCTACTTTTCTCTTGACCTCTTTTAGTCTTTTCTGCTCTCTTGCATTAACTTTTTCTTTTCCTTTCTTTCTTTTCCATTCAAAATTCTGTTGGTTGCACTGCTGGGTCAAATTGATTGATACTAATGGGATATGTAGGTCAGTTCATCTGGAAGGCACCAAATTTGGGAAAGCCTGCACTGGTTAATCTTTCGAATTATTTGATACTGTATTTTCTGAAACTTATGTTTACCCCGGTAAAGAAAAAGGATATGCAGAAACAGTTTAATGTCTTTAACGCAACTTGGGGGGTGGTTTTCACTTTATTTGCCCAACTAAGTATAGTTTGCCTCAGTATCACCTCCCTGCACTTTCCAGTTGTCACCATGTGTTCTGAGTAGGGGGCGAATTGAAAACACATCAGTGTTGTAATTTTAACCATGGAAACCAAACACAGATAATTTAAGTACTAAATATAAACATCACATGAAAACAATTATTCTATTTCTAATATGAATCTTCAAGAATCTTGTCTCTAAAGATGGGGTTCCAGGGAGGAATGTTTGCAAAGCTAACCATCTTGAATTGTTTATGAGTTCTCAAGGGCAGCCACCAAGACTTTTGATTTCATCCAGCAAGGTAGTTTTTATGCTGTTATCTTGCTATGTAGGCTTGTGGACAAATATTCTGTGTGAATATAGCATTAGATGAGTTTGACCCGCCTGTAAGCTAATGCATCTGGTGGTTTTTATCTCTGTGGTTTCAGAGGCATTTTGTTAGGGTCTCACCACATTTTTCTTCCATCAGTTATTTGACACATAACATCTACATAAATGTGTTGTGTATTGAATTCCCAGTTCAATATTGCTTTCACCCTCAAATAATCATTTCACATGTGACAGGAACTGGACTGACACTGGAAAATGTTTTTGTTTGGATTAGTCGAAAAAGGAATAAATCCCAGTCAAAATCTCACTTTGTAATTTGAAAGCTTATGTTGGTTTTCTGCCCCTTGTTCATGATTTCCATCCAGGAATTGTGGAAATGTTACTTAGTGTATACTGTAAATAAGTAAAGTTACAGTAGACTTACTGACTACTGTCTGGTTAAAATCCCTAAATGATTATGACTGGGATTCATGTGAGATGTGTGAATATGTATTAAATTAGTTTGAAGCTTATATTTTAGAGATAGCCTGAGATGATCCTTGGTGTAAGGTATGTGCTGTAATAGGCATTCTTTTAAAAATAATCTAACTGCTCTTGTTCCATGGTGTAGCATGAAGAACATCATGGAAATATTGGAAAGCTTTTAAAATTAGAATGCAGTTGCAGTTGTGAATAAAAGTTTGCTGATCAGTTGATTTGTGGCCTTTCTGAAGCCCCAGAGATTTGCTGTTTGGTCTTCTTGGCCTTTGGAACATGCTTTGCTTAGATGCTCTTGGTAGTACAAAGATATTTCCCTCAGTGTGATAAGGATTTTCAGTTGTACGTTGTGTAAACAGACCTCTGATCTCACTTTGGTCATATAAGGCTAATTGATCATTCCTTCAAACCCTCGCCTTTTCTTTTGAAGCACATAATTCAGGTTTATATAAATATAAAGACAAGCGTGACATCCATGTACAAATTTTTCTTTCAGTAACCGACTTCATAATATGGAATCAAATGTAATTCCTGAAAATGCAATGGTCTGTGTGATAATAAG